CCCCGGGCAGTGCCCGAATGGTCAGTCCGCCCCTGGGCTGGCCCCTTTTTGCTTGTATAGCCACAGTATGGAAAACATAGCAAGTGCTTGGACTGGTTACAATCCTGTACTATACCTGCTCAGTTGCTCTCTATTTTTAGACAATGTCCTGAATTTGTAGAGGCCGGTCTGCTGACAGCCTAAAGATTTACTGCTGCTCAGTGGCTTTCGCAAAATGCTGGAAGCAATTTACAGCACATATTCATGTCGGTGGCATAATTATCAATGTAGAATGGATGTTCCATACTAAAGAACCTTCATTTCTATCAGCTTGCTATGAGTAAAGTTCTGCTCGAACTTGCAGCTTGGGGGAATACCTGCAGCTGAACAGTCTTTGTTTTATCTCCTCATATAAACTAGGCCTTACCTACTAAGTAAGCTATTGTCAGACCATTACAGCCAAGTCTTTGCAGTGTAACACAGGATTGATAGAGTCCCTGCTCGGTCCTTACACGGGGACTTCCTCAGCCGGCCTCCTATCACGGGGACTACCTCAGCCGGCCTTCTATAACTCTACACTGTCGATGCACTAACGCAACAGCGCCATCTAGTGACTGTATATAGGTATACCAAGCGGGAAACACTTGCTAAGCACAGATGGCCACCTCAGAGTGTACACTTCACGGCTCGTCTCTTGGGGCGGATGGGAGGACTAGCGCTGTGCTACTTGAACGTCACATGAGTAATGGCTCTGTTCACATAATATCAGCTCACAGAGTTCTGGTGAAGAAGAGGCAGAGTTTGGTGAAAGGATGACACTACCCCCCCTCTCCCGGTGTCTCTCACAGCACCGCCGTCTTTCACACACCTCTCCCCCGTCCGCTGCTAACAGCGCCGCCCCGTTTTCATTTTCTTCGAAATAACTTTAATAACAATATTTATTGATTACAAACTGACAGCAAAGGCGTGTTCCTGTGGCCGGGAGAGAGCAGCACTGAGCACCAGCAGTGGAGGGAGACTTTCCAGGGACCAGTCACTTCCTGTGTGTGGGAGGCAGTCAGTCAGGGACAGGCTGGAGGAGGCCGCTGAGTTGGGCCTGGTAAGACCGTGTTGCGTGTATGTGTGCTGAGGAGACAGCAGGGCAGTGACAGGAGAAGGCAGCATGGCTGTATGTGGTGCCTGTATACAATGCCATGTGTACACACAGCCTGCAGTCACACATTCCATGTCATACAGGGTGTGGAGCATTCATAGACTGCCTGATAATCCCAGTGCTGGGTGAGCTTTCCAATACACAGCAGGATGTATGAACAATGAGGGCTCATGCACACAGATGTACAGTGGGGATGTGGACACAGTGGTGAGGTATGGGCCCATTCACACCCCTCTGTTTTGGTCCATCATACTTAGCTGTGTACACCAAAACTACACCCATCTGCATTCACGGTCTCATTAACATTGTATTTTACACTGTGCTTATGTAAACATTTACAGTGAAAAGTAAACTGGCTGCACACGGCTCCAGGCAGGCTTGTATAACCAAAGTATGTTTCTGCTGTATCTCCAGGTACCAGCGCGCTACGCAGCTGCAAGTATCACAGGAATAACAGATGCCAGCACTCCTGTTCGGCAGAAAACGTCTGGAATGCTTTATGAATGTGGCATTAAGCCCCCGTTCACGCCGGAGGGACTTGTCATGCAATTTGCCAGTTCAAAATTGCATGACAAGTAGCATCATATTTGTGCCTATGGCAGCCTTTCTCAGCCAGGGTGACCAGGCAAAATGTCTAAAATTTGCCCAAAACTTGTATACAGCCAGCCTTTTAATTGCAAAAATCCATAAGCTTTTATTGTGCACCATTACGACCTTCTAACTACCGGTGTCCTGACACCCAATTACATCAGTTGATAAGGAGATGTCAGTTGCCTGCACATCATCCTTGTTTGATCCTCCCTTGCCCGTCTCCATCAGTGCTGGAGTCACATTAGCTCAGTGATGGAGAAAAACTGAGGGAGAAGAGAAACACTGGAATACTACTCAGTACAAGTGTGCAAAAGTGTATTTGCTTTGGAAGAATAAATCCCCTCTAATGTTGGGTGCCCTACATATGTGGATGTTGCTGCATTATATAAAACTGTTAGAATACTTTTTCACATTTTAGAATAGGATGCCCTTTTAAAATTATGGACAGTCTAGAGGCACCCTATTTTAGAATGGGGCGCTTCAAGACTGTCCATAATTTTAAAGGGTTACTTGACTGAAAAAAGGTTGAGAAACTCTGGCTTATGGAACCGTTCAAATTGGTGCGTCTCTGACTTGCACCGATTTGAAAAAGGTTCCTGCACTGTTTTTGGCGATTTTCATGTGGGACTTAAATTGAGATAAAATCGCACAGCTGTCAGCAAGCCGCACATGAAATCACACTGGCGGCTTTTACATTGTGATGAAGTAGTGCGATTTCAAAGCAGCATTAGACACAAACACAGCTCTGTACAGGGAAACAACCATTTCCCTGTACGGAGCTGTGTTTATGTCTGAGCCTCCGTTCACATCAATGCAGCTTTGACAGCTGACTATTCTGTGTGACTTCATTGCAGCTTGCTACCATTCAGTTCAACTTCATTATCAGATGTCAATAAAAAGGTGCAAAGAAGTCACACAAAAATAGTGCAGGAACCTTTTTTAAAGTCACACCAATTAGAACAAGGCTATTGACAGATATAGGACGTGATATTGACCAGTCGCACTGACTTTTTCTGCTGAATAGGAGTGCCGTCATCTTTCTCTTATTCATGTAAACATTTGTGCTAACATTTACATGTATACAGAGTTACCCCTTACTTCCACCGACCCCGGCTCTTTATCTACAGATGCCCCTTACCTGCATAGACAGTTTTCTGGTAAAGGTGAACTAACCCTTTAAGGCCAAACTCACACAGCCAGTTAAATGCAGTCACCGGATTCCATCAGCAAGAATCAGCAGATTCTTGCAGTTGGAATGACCGGGGCATACGAATAGCAGCAGCCGCTCAGCCTATTTAAGCTAATGACAGGCTGACAGCGACTGCTGCTGTTCACATGTAGCTACACACAGAGCAGTTAGCTGTGGTTATGGATGGAGTCCAGCTGCGTCCAGGCCTGGACATCCCTCTCTAACCACAGGTAACCGCTCTGCGTGTGGCTGCATGCAAACAGTGGTTGCCAGTGTTGTCCTTTATTAGTTTTAAATAGGCTGAGTGGCTGCTGCTATTTGCACGCCTCGGTCATTCCAGCGGCAAGAATCTACTGATTCTTGCCGCTGGAATCTGATGGCTGCATGTAAACAGCTATGTGGATGTGACTTTAAAGAATGTAAATGGTGGAGGCGGGCACTGTAATAATGTGAACACTGTGATTGGCTTTCATTACGGTCACATAATTGAAAGCTCCAAGTATGCATCAGGAGCTTCCCGTGACATCTTAGCTACTGTGCTGGGAACACACTTTCAGCATAGAAGACCATTCTCCTTGGATTAATATATGCTTTGGCGTTAAAGCTCACCCACACAGTGTCCATATATATGCATACTGCCCTTGAGGGTTAGGGACTGACGTGAATGTACAATATCTGTATGTAAATTGATGGCGCTATAGAAGTACCTAAAATAAATAAATACTGCCGATGGGAACAGGTGAAATGGGCACTAAGTGCCACTGCTTAGTATAGTCTATAAAACAAAACCAGCCAAACAGCAGGTGATAATCAGTAAATCACTGTTGTGCAGCAATCCAGCAGCTCCAAGAGGAATAATTCCAGGAGTGGTGTAGTGCAATATGTGATCCAGTAGTCCACAGTAAGCACTTAGGAAAGCTGATGATCGTGTAAAACCACAGTACATAAAGTACAAATCATAAAAAAACATTTATTGACATACTGCAAGTTCAGTCTTTAATGAGGTAATTGATAATAGATCATCATATTAAAACAAATGTATAGAATAACTGGACATAAAAGGGCATGAGGTCTCTGCTGCTAGCTGTTATTATAGCGATTATTCCATGCCCATAGAACCCAAGATGCCACTAATAGATAGGGACAAGGCAGTGATGACATGTGGTTGTGGATCTCAAAAATAATTACCTCCATTGGATGAGGATGGCAGAAACTGGATGCTGGACTGGTATAAGATGTGGGATCGTGTGGATGAATGGCCGGATGGCCAGCCGCATAAGTGGATGTTAATGTGGATACCAGTGCAGACAGATCGATGGTGTATGGCCGATCCTCAAGGCTGTCACACTGGAAGTGACGTCAGCCGGGGTGGATACCGCTGACTGAAAGTGGATGTTATGGACCGCAAGCTAAACATAAGCTTGAACTGAAGCTGGGACTGAGGCTTGGGCGGTCTTCAAGATTCCAAAATAGCTGCAGCAGGATCACGTATGCGTAGTGGGATGTGGGGCAGAGACAGAACACATGCCAATATGCATACATGATCCCGACGCTTAATCGAAGATCCACTGAATTTACAGTTTTTAGCTTCACATTTAGATTCCTTTGTTTTATTTTATTTTTTCAATTTGTGATATATTTGTGATAAACATAGCGAGGTTGATTTACTAAAACTGGAGAGGGCAAAATCTGGTGCAGCTGTGCAAGGTAGTTAGTCAGCTTCTAACTTCAAATTGTTCAATTAAGCTTTGGCAATAAAACCTGGAAGCTGAATGGTTTCCATTCAGAGTTGCACCAGATATTGCACTCTCCAAATTTAGTAAATCAACCCTATTATTTACTTTTATCTTGGAGTAGTTTTTTTTCTTCTGTGTCTAAGGTTGTGCTCACTGTTGTGGGACACTTGTTAACCATTCTTCTGTCAAAAAGCATGCACAGTGCAGCATGGCAGTTAATTTCATAAATTAGAATAGGTGGGAGCAATTGAATGAACAATTGAGCTTCAAATTGTATCACTGCTGTCTTATGGAAGGATGCTTTTTCTTACAACAGTTTATTTATACCAGTAATTTATATGTTTGCTCTAGGTTGAGGAAAGTACTTAGTCACTTCAAAATGGTGAGAATCTTGGCAAATGGGGAGATTGTTCAAGATGACGACCCTCGAGTAAGGGCAAGCACGCAACGTAGGGATAATAGTCCTCGCCAGGTGAGTCTATTTTTTTTGCATTCCTTTTTTATACAGCAGGGGTATTGAACTAAAATTTGCAAAGTTCTGATCAGTAAAATGTTTTTCCAGCAGAGGTCCAAATCACAATGCACTGCCTCCCTTTAGATCAAACCCTTGAGAGTTAACTTTCCAGCAAGTGATTGGTTGCTAGGACATAGGCTGGTCCTCACAAACAATCACTTGCTAGTTAATATGAAAAGCTAACCACCTGACAGCTCCTGCTCCCGTCTTCCATGAGCTGTTCCTCCTGCACTCAGTTTATTATTATCCTGCCTCACAATCTCTGCGCTGTCTTGAGAATGATAACGGTGGAGGCTGGGGATAGAAGCAGCCCCCAAATGGTGTGACCACGGGTCCAGGCGGGACAGTGGCTTAGTCAAGATCTGGACCATGGACCACCATTTAGTGATGTGTGCTATACAGGAAAGTAACTGCTAAAACCTAACATGAACAGAATTGAATATTACATATTAGGGTATGTATATACAGTATCTCCCAGAAGTGAGTACACCCCTCACATTTTTGTAAATATTTGATTCTATCTTTTCATGTGACATCACCGTAGAAATGACACTTTGCTAGAATGTAAAGTAGTGAGTGTACAGCTTATATAACAGTGTAAATTTTTTGTCCTCTCAAAATAACTCAACACAGAGCCATTAATGTCTAAACTGCTGACAACAAAAGTGAGTACACCCCTAAGTGACAATGTCCAAATTGGGTCCAAAGTGTCAATATTTTGTGTGGCCACCATTATTTTCCAGCACTGCCGTAACCCTCTTGGGCATGGAGTTCACCAGTGCTTCATAGGTTGCTGCTGGAGTTCTCTTCCACTCCTCCATGACGACATCATGGAGGTGGTGGATGTTAGAGACCTTGCGCTCCTCCACCTTCCTTTTGAGGATACCCCACAAATGCTCAATAGGGTTTAGGTCTGGAGACATGCTTGATAAAACTAGAAAAGGATAAAAGAAAGAGCACCAACCTTGCGCATTACCTCAGTAAATAGTGAATAATTTTATTAAAGAAATATACTCACAAGAGTATCAATAAAACAGGCATAAAATCACCATAGTCCACACAGGGTTACAGGTCACATGCAAATTCCATCCAAAGAGGAGATAAAAGCTAACTCGTTTCGAAGGGTGATCCCTTCTTCATCAGAGCTGGGTTTGACAATAACAAAACCTCAATTTGGCAGAGTTCCTATAGCTAGGAGGCATTCAGCCACTGACTGTCAGTATTTCAGCCTGTTTAGACTTGCTTGGCCAGTCCATCACCTTTACCCTCAGCTTCTTTAGCAAGGCAGTGATCGTCTTGGAGGTATGTTTGGGGTCGTTATCATGTTGGAATACTGCCTGCAGCCCAGTCTCCGAAGGGAGGGGATCATGCTCTGCTTTAGTATGTCACAGTACATGTTGGCATTCTTGGTTCCCTCAATGAACTGTAGCTCCCCAGTGCCGGAAGCACTCATGCAGCCCCAGACCATGATACTCCCACCACCATGCTTGACTGTAGGCAAGACACACTTTTCTTTGTACTCCTCACCTGGTTGTCGCCACACACGCTTGACGCCATCTGAACCAAATAAGTTTATCTTGGTCTCATCAGACCACAAGACATGGTTCCAGTAATCCATGCCCTTAGTCTGCTTCTTTTCAGCAAACTGTTTGCGGGCTTTTTTGTGCATCATCTTTAGAAGAGGCTTCCTTCTGGGATGACAGCCATGCAGACCAATTTGATGCAGTGTGCAGCATATGGTCTGAGCACTGACAGGCTGACCCCCCACCCCTTCACCTCTGCAGCAATGCTGGCAGCAATCATACGTCTATTTCCCCAAGACAACCTCTGGATATGCTGCTGAGCACGTGCACTCAACTTCTTTGGTCGATCATGGCGAGGCCTGTTCTGAATGGAACCTGGCCTGTCCTGTTTAAACCACTGTATGGTCTTGGACACTGTGCTGTAGCTCAGTTTTTCAGGGTCTTGGCAATCTTCTTATAGCCTAGGCCAACTTTGTGTAGAGCAACAATTCTTTTTTTCAGATCCTCAGAGAGTTCTTTGCCATGAGGTGCCATGTTGAACTTCCAGTGACCAGTATGAGAGAGTGAGAGCGATAACACCAAATTTAACACACCTGCTCCCCATTCACACCTGAGACCTTGTAACACTAACGAGTCACATGACACTGGGGAGGGAAAAGGGCTAATTGGGCCCAATTTGGACATTTTTTCACTTAGGGGTTTACCCACTTTTGTTGCCAGCGGTTTAGACATTAATGGCTGTGTGTTGAATTATTTTGAGGGGACAGCAAATTTACACTGTTTATACAAGCTGTACACTCACTACTTTACATTGTAGCAAAGTGTCATTTCTTCAGTGTTGTCACATGAAAAGATATAATAAAATATTTACAAAAATGTGAGGGGTGTACTCACTTCTGTGAGATACTGTAGAAATCATACCACCCTACAAATCGTGCACATTGCTAAAAACATGGACTTTTATGTCAAAATTAATTATTTGTCTCACAAAATATTAAGAAACAATCAATTGTGAAGATAACACCCATAGAAACCCTGTCATACTGTGTCTTTCGTTTTTGCTAATGCAGACTAGGAACTCAAAGGAAAATGTTGATTGGTTGCTCCAGCATTTTTAGTACTTTTCCAGTTTCTTCCTTTCTCCAGAGCCCCAATGGTGTCCTTTAGACATGTTCACTTATAGACGTATTGGATTATAACTTTGTGTTATTAAAATACCTTTTTAGGAAAGTAAGATATAAATTCAATGCAGATATTATAACTTTTAACTAATTGCTTTTTTACAAAATGTTTCTGTAATTTGATTTGCTGTGTCTTTAGAATTTCCTGTAGTTTATATAATTTCTTATGCTTTCAGGGATTGTTTAACACGATTGGAAATAATGGACCAGGACCACAGCAAGTTCCACAAGATGGGGCAAGACAGGAGGGGCGATCCCCTTTTACTGACTTTAATCAGCAATTGGTGAACATGGGATTCCCACGCTGGAATCTTGGAAACCAGGTTGTAGAGCCAGTCATGTCCATTCTCATTCTCTTTCTCATTCTAATGATGGGTGTTCGTGGCTTGCTCCTTATAGGCTTAATATATGTTGTATCCCACCTCAGCCAGCGATAACTGCAAACATGGGATTCTGGGAAATGAAACAGGAAGATAAATCAGAAGTCTGCAGCTGTGAATAACTTTTGTGATGGTGCTTGTTGGAGAAGTTCAGGTTCCCCTCAGAAGAGCCAAACTTTATGAACATGTTCGCCTAATGGATATCAATAAATGTATCCAGCTTTCTTTAGGACCAAATTCTCTGTGATCAACAGTAAAGTAAATCTGGACTTGACAGGAGCAGAAGCCTTTTTATCCATGCTGTCTAATTCTCTTATTTAATTCCTATATCTATTTCTACTTTCACTATTATATATTTGTATGCTAAAATAATTCAATTAAGTGAACAACTGCATGCACTTGTAACTACATGATATAGAATGAATATCTTTTGCATTCCAGGTGTTCAAGGTCTGTAATTTTTAGGACTAATATATATTTGGGTGTATTACTATGAAAGTTTGCAGGTCATGGGATGCACAGCTTACTGAAACAGGTGTTAAAGTGGTTGTAAAGGAATTTAAAATAAATTAATTAATAAAAAAGATGAACAATTTGAATACCCAAGCCCTCCCATATGTGACTAGCACTTTGGAATGTTTGCTAAATATCAAATCCTTGTATTAGCAGGGCACATAGACATCTGACACTTCTGGAAGTGCCAAATGCCAAAGATAATTGATGGAGGTTGCCACACTGTAATAGGGGGATGAGAGCTGCTGCAGAGGTGAGTATACTCCCTCCCCCCCCTTATTGGGAGATTTTAGAAACCTAACATGGTCTCTTTAACAACAATCACATCTCAAGTTGTTTATTCCAGATACCCCTGCCTCCTGGTGCATCTGACATTATGTTGCTTGGACAACCCATAAAGGTTTAAACTACACGTCATGAGAGAAACTTATAAGCATTTAAGCTTCCACTGGATCCCTGACTTTTTCTGTCTTAATTGCTGCATACTTGCTTGGTGTGTTTGACTCAGATGTTCTGAAGTAAAACACATTGGTGAACAGTAGCAGCCTATTGCTTTGGTGACCAGGTTTTCTTTAAATGTCAGGACATTCTTCCCATCAGATAAACTAAAGAAGCTTCTGAATAAGTGGTTAAACACTTTTTAAGATGGTTATGTGGTGTTTTGATCTCAGCACTGCAGTATTCCTATAGTGATGCACAGCCTCTATTTTTGTTAACATCAAATTAAGGAATTAGTTGCACTAGCCAGTTTGGGCTAAATCGTCCAGTGAATAAAATAACATCTGGAATTTGATGGGTTGCTATTTGCCGTAGAGGCACTTCTTCAGAATAACATGTTAAGCAATACATTTTCACTAGCAGCTTATGTCTTATTTCTACTAGTCTTATTTCTTCTATTTTCTATAATATGATGAGATTGTATTTGTTTTGTACAGCAGCGAAATTAAATTCCGGGTGTGTTTTGTGTGTGGATTTTTTCTTCAAATTAAATAAACTTGGTTCTGGACATTGGCAAAGTACATCTGTGTGGCTTATTTATTTCAAACATTGCCTTGTGCTAAACTTTGATAAAAAAAAAAAAAAAAAAGCAATTCTATTCAAGTATGTGTTCTTAACTCAGAAAAGTATCTTCTGTTGCTCTCAGCCTCCTCCAAATCTCCAAACTCCTTTCTTCTGTTGCCATTGTGGCCAGAGTTCTTGTTATAGGGTTGCTACATTTGTTCCCTCTGTATGTAAGAATGTAACCACCTTCTCTTTTTTGTTCCTGAGATGTAGTATGAACTATGGGATTTGTAGTGTACGTAGAACAATGCACATGAATGCACCCAAATGCAATGCTCAATACAAACAAATGGAAAAGAGAGAGAAAAGGAGAGCTTTGGGAGCTCATGGCAGACATGACAGAGAGGCAGAAAAAAACAAACTATTTCATGAAAACTAGATTACAGGTCGATTAAGTAGTTGAGGTGTATAGATTATTTTTGGAGAATAAGTACTGTATATTGTTAAGTGTCACTTTAGATGATTGCATATAGATAACATGAACCTTAGAGGGAAAAAGATATCAGTTCAAGTCAGAAAGTCTGATCTCTAGGAAACCGATCTGGTACTGTGCATGAGAGATGGCATTCAATTAGCCATCAGACAGAGAGGTAGTATAACAAACCGGTAATAGACAGCAGTCTCATCTTCCCTCGTAGGCGTGCAGGATAAAGCATGGTGTATTTGATATGGAGGAGGCAGCGTTTTATTTCCAGAAATCGAGTGCTTTGGCGCTGAACCTCTAGAGAAATCTGGGAACACTATTATGGTGTTTTGAAATGGGATGTTACCTTTTTCTTTTTTGATTATAAGGACCAAAGAGGATTGGATCTCAGTCCTTATAATTGAGGAATTTGGCAATGAATGTGCGGAGAGGGAGGGGGCATCCTACAGAGGTTGCCGTGCCCATTCAACCACAAAAGAGGCAGAAAAAGTTCCCTACCGTATGTAGTAATCAGCAGTTCTTCCAGGAAGGTGGCTGGATTTGTGCCCTTCATCAGGCGGATCAATAAAGCAAACGTTGAGCCTATTCTCCAGGTCATTCTGCTTTTGTTGAAGCTGACTGGTGTTGTATGCACTCAGAGGAGTCCTGAAGCAGGGCAATGGCATTGGCTTAGTCGGGTCTCAGATTGGATGACCTTGTCCTGGAGCTTCTGCAAGTCCTGGTGAATTAGAGATATGTCTATTTTCCGCTCCTTAATTTTGCTGGTAAGGGAAGCCTGACAGGCTGAGATGGCGTCCAGGGCTTTAGCGGTGTCCGACATAGGCTGTTCTTTCTCAGGAGAATGGAACTCCATCAGCCCCCCTTTGGCTTGTCCTGTTGCCTGATTTTCTCCAGTTTAGTGGCATCCAGGACTTTCTGAGGTGGTGATATGGTACAGGAGAAGATGGGATCCCCCAAGGCTGTCACAGGTGATCAGCCGAGCAAGAGAACTAGCAGGATAAGGGGATAAGTGTAGATTGTGAGCGGAGCGTAGCTCACCAGCGCTGTGCTCCATGCCACTCAAAGCCACATCTCCCGAGTCTCAATGTGAATAATGTCACTTTTTGCACTTTGTAACCATTACTTTCCTGGTGCCTCCATCATTCCACTCGATTGAGACCATAGCGTATCCGTTTTAGAAAAAAATCTGGTTGACTTTCTTCAGTAAAAGTGAGTAAAATTGTTTTTTTATGTAATGTAGATCATCATATACTCATGTGTCAATCAAGGTAAACAAATTGATGTGCAACACAAGAGCCAGTAGATATTTCCCTTTTTGGTATTAGAAAACAGTTAATGTTCAAGTTGTGAAACTTTAGACGCAGTATTTGTCCTACATATAAATAAAATGCTTTGCAAATGAATATATTTTTAGTGCTATATATTACAGGCCAGCTGAAATAACTGTATATAAACTGCCTTAAATCTGTTATACACCATCTTCCCTATGAGGTGTCATGTTGTGTGCTACTACACTAAACTGCCTGAAGAATCATTCATAAATCAGTTCTCCCCCTCCACTTTGAGCAGAGAGCCCTGACAGTCACTGGCTCTCTGCTCTGCCCCTCCAGCGCTCACTGGAATTGGGTTGGGCTGGCTCGGGCTCTCAGCAGATTACTGAGAAGCTGACCATATGGTTGGGATCTTTTCAGAGCTTAGACTGGCTCTGTGTCTTTAGCCAGCTATCTGCTGAAAACGGGTCACAGAAGTGCAGAATTAAGGGCACTCCTGTGACCCACAGAAGTAGGGCCAAAAAAAAAGCTTAGGCTATCCTCGTTTAAAGTGTTCTTAAACCCACAACAGTAAAATCAGTCTGTATATGCAGTATAGCATAATCTGCATTGTGTAAAAAGGCCATTTTATCTTGACTTCTCTGCTCCTCCTCTTGTTCAGATGTCCACATCTTATCTCCTGATAAGACAGACTGAACTGTAGCCATTCTGCACATGCTCAGTTTAGTGTGTATTGCTAGAGAGGTTTCTTTCTTTTTCTTGGGAGAGTGCTTTTGTTCAGCAGTGTCCACACAGAGGTCAGGGATTTTGCATCCTAGAGCAGAAAAAACTCCTACAAGCTATAACCAGTGCTCAGCTGCACACTGATAGAAGTCGAAGTCACAAGACTGCTGTAACTACTGATGAGAAAAGGTATTTAGTAGTTTATATTTACTATTATTGCACTTCCATGTTCTGTGTACTGTGGGAGACCAGATATAGTGAATGCAGGGTCCTTGGTTTAGTAATACTTTAAGATGTGTTGATTGGTTCTATTGGCATTTTTACACCTTGCTCTTACATTAGGAATGGGCAAATAAAATGAGGGGAATTAAAGTGGTATTAAACCCCAAAACAAAAATGTAATACATTGCAGTTTACCAATTATTATAAGGGTGGGGGGGGGGGCTAAATTATGTTCCCTTTTTTGGCTTTTTTCTCCTGCTGATCCAGCCAATAAAACACTCTGTTTTAAGGTGACTGCCTTCTGAATGAAGTAGTAAAGCAGACAAATGGAAACAGCTCCCACTACCATTTTATAAGCAGTGACAGCAAGCAGTTTGTTTCCTTTTTGGATAAAGGTTTTACATAAATTAATAAATGCTGAACATTGTAAGCTCTCCTTTCAGTGTTAAAGAGATTGCCTCAGGGCTCTAACTGTTACTTTGTCTGACCAGCTTGGGCTGCTAAGGTAAGATGGATTACTGGCTGGATCACCAAGTGACATAAAGGACACAAGCCTAAAAAGAAAACTATTGCAACCATCACATCTAAGGATTGGTGAGCTGCAATTTAATACATTTTTGTTTTTGGGTTTAATACTGCTTTAACAAAGAGTGGTGCAAGCATGACACTTGAACCACTCTTCTAAACATAAAAAATGGAGCAGATGCTTCTAAAGGGCTGCAAGCTGTGTCTGTGACAGGCGGCACAAAGAATGGATGGTTAGAGCTGCCAATCACCACCCCCTCGATTCACTTCCCCCCCCCCCCCCATTCCACATTTGGTGGAAATCTGTGGCAGTTTTCTATGTGAAAAAAACTGCATCATTCTCGCTATTAATTAGGAGAAGATCTGCTCTAGTTGTTCTTTC